GCTGTATGCTAAAATAATTGATCACAAATATTCTAAAGTTGGGCATATGTTGATGTCAAAGCAGTATTGGAAACAGGGACTGTACAGCGAGTGTGTGGGTGGTGCTGTAATAAAGGACAGAGAGAAGAAATTGCGATCTGATCCGTATTACAGTTAAATGTACTGGAATGTTACCCTTAAAAAAAAAACAAGCTGAGAAATTGTGTAACTTTAATGTTAAGTTTAAAAGTTCACAATTTTGGGCTAGGAAACTTTCTATTTAGGTTTGCTAGGAACTTGTTCCTGTGTCATAGAATTGTAGAATTATAGAATTGTGTTAAGGTAGTGTTGGGGTGGGGGGAGAGGGGAAATCCCCCCCCCCCAAAAAAAAAATACAGCCTTGTTCAGTGTTCAGGGTGGACAGATGAAGGTGTGGTGGGCAGAGTAGCTAAGCAGGTCAAGTGGTTTGGTGCTGCTATTGGTGGTCTGAATGCTCTAGTTTCTGCGTGACAATGCTGTGAACCAATTCTGTTCACAAATCTAGCAGCCAAGTGAGTAGTTTTCTGCTGAGCCATTAAGTTAAATCAATTTACTGTGCAATCAGATGAGCATCAGTCAGTACCAGAAATGGTGTAGGACTGTGTGCCGAGAGCAGTGGTGGAGGAGAGCAGGCAGTTGGACTCTATCCATCTGTGGCAATGAGATCTTAGATTGCTCAGCTGATATCCGCATTTGAAGGCCGAACAAATTATGAATTTGACGTTTTTCCAGTCTTTCAGTATTCAGTTTAATGTTATAATGTAAATATAATTTTCTCTACAAAATAATGTCTAAAGTATCTAAAAATAATTTTTCTTAAGTATGTCATTTGCTGCCAGTGTGAAAATGAAGTAGTGTTCTTGACAGAATTTGTCTTGTGTATGCAGTAACATAAGCTTTTGTGAATTTGAAAAAGGCTCAAAACAACAAATCATTTTTTGAAGCCATATTATCTTTCAATTTCTGCTTGAAGTGCTTTTAGAGAATTAAGTCTTACTCTTGTTAGTATGGAACTTTAAAAAAAAAATAAAAACTCCTTTAATTCTAGTAAAGTTTTGAAAAAAATCCCACTTGGAATCCCCTTTCTTCTCTGACTTCCATGTTTTAAGGCTTTTTTCCTCTCCAGTGGCATCAGTAGCTTCAGACCTTTGAAGGGATTCATATTTTGTCTCCCAGGGACAGAGACTCCCCACTTTGATTTTTCTTTCTTCCCAGTTGCAAGTAGGAGTTCAGGGGTCTCTGCTACTTCCCATCATAGATCTTCTGGTAGGTTTTTTTTGTTATACAGCCTTTTGTTCCTTCAGTGGTTATTGCTCTCCTGGTTTCCAGGTGTTTCAGAACTAAAAATGGCCTTAGTTCTATCCTTTTTGGTATAGAGAGATCCAAAAAGCTCTGTGGAAGAGAAGAGAGTTGTGTTCAGAGATGAGATAGCAACTATTTAGTTGGTATCAAATTGTGTGCACCATTTTTGCAACTTCTCATGATCTATGAAAGTGTGTACTGATGAACTTTAATACTTGATACATATGTAAATAGCATCATCCTTGTAGTCTGTAATCAAAAGTAAAAAGTCTATATTATTAAAATATTTGTATTTAGAGCTGAAGAGAAAATGTCTTTTCAAGCTAGAAGAAGGACTGTGTTAGATACCAGAAAAAGAATTATTTTTATCCTGTGGTTAAGACTGTTTTTTTTCCCCTCTTCTGAAGGTTTCGTGGAGATGGTGTGACGACAAACATAGAGAATGCTAATTGTTCTTCACTTTAAAAATGTCTTAGTGTAATACCTGTTGAGGTTTTGAGTACTTATGGAGGTGTATACGAAGTTAACTAAAACATTTTCTTACAAATGGTTTTGAATGCAAACCTTTTTGGATACTTTTATGTGGATTTCACATAAGTTGACACTGATGTACATTCTGTCTATCTGATTGTAATTGTGTATGTTACATTGGGGTTTTTTGTTGGTTTACATTGGGGTTTTTTGTTGGTTTACATTGGGGTTTTTTGTTGGTTCTGTCTTAACTGCTTTTGAGACCGTGGATCTGCTCTTTTGAGTGCTGTTTACTGATGATTAGACTATTTCAGTTGGAAGGGAGCTACAACCATTATCTAGTCCAACTGCTTGACCAATTCAGGGCTGGCCAAAAGTTAAGGCCCTTGTCCAAATGCCTCTTGAACACCAATGGGCTTGAGGCATCAACCATGTCTCTAGGAAGCCTGTTTTGTAGTTTAGTAGTTTTGTAACCTTAAAAGTGGATTTTTTTAAACTTTTTTTTTTATATAACTGCATCTGTGAAATACATTAAGTGATGAATTAAATACCAGCCACCACATACTATAGGAGTTGTCAAATGAAACTGATGGTTAGTCAGTAAAACTTCTCGGAAGATGTAATCAAAGTTGGGGAATGGGACAGATTGAAAGAGGAAATCAGATAATCTTCTTGTGCTGTAGAAACAGAAGTCAACAATTTTGAGGTAGTTTTGCAGATAGTCATGCCTATCTCTTATGTAAGTACTTTACTTTTCAACTAGTAATAGGTACGGATCTTCAGTCTTTTTAAGGTTTTGTTTAGTGATTATAGGCAAGCCAAAGTATGAGCACGCAGTATGGCTCTTGCCATAGCAAATGCTTCTTATTTTAAACTTAGAAGTTGTTGTATTATGTTGCCAGTTATATTACTGCTGATTGTACCCCAGCAAATATAAATTTCCATCCTTTCCCTGCCATACATGAAGTCCCAGATCTGAGCAACTGGTCCCTATAAAAATCTGAGCTCTATTTGAGGACAAGTGAAGTGGGTTGACAGGTAATAATCCCTGCTTGCCACCTTGCTTGCAGCATTCACTGCTATAATTCCATATTTTCTATGTTCAAACTAATATAATATCTGGAAATGTTTGACAACTTTGATATCCATCAGTATAGTAACGAATTTCCATGTTTAGAGTGAAACAATTTTAAAATGGTAAGTTAAAGCATTTTTAAGAGTTTGAAATAACCTGTAGACTCTTGGATGCTTTCGTTGTGTAGTCCTGCAGGCAGGAGGTGGTGTGTGTGTGGGGAAACCTGTAGTCCATTCTGAGATTTCTAAGCCTATAATACGGAACTTCCCACTGTCACAAACCATTTCTTTGTTTTTATTTCCCCCTGAATGGAACTGATGCTGTAATGACACCATTATTACAATATTCCATAATGTGAGCAGTAGGTGATTTTTCTCAGGTGATGACATTTCACTGAAGTACCTTAGCACCCTCAGTGAACTATTTTCAGAACTCATCTAAGGTTGAGGTAGTTGTTTGTATATGTGTTGCTGCTCATTCTGGTCTTTCTGTGCCTGCTAGATATAAAGGCTCTTGTGGCAGAAAGAAGATGTTAACAAAGTAGTGGTGACTATAGCATCTATCAGATGAAGTAGTCCTGTTGTAGAGGCCCATGCTGGTTTTACATTAAATTTAGCTTAATGAAAGGACAGTTTTTCATGACTATACTTTACCTTTTGGCAGTTGAACTTGGTTAGCTAAAAATGAAATTGTGCTCATGGTGTATGGTATGTTAAATCTGATTTCAAGTGAAGGGAGTCTTTGTAGCTCTTAACTGTGTGGATTGGTTTAAGAAATCCTAGAGCCCACTTCCTTGTTTGGGCTAAGTAAGAAAAGAGTGACCTCAGGGCACTTCTTTCCCCCACAAGATGAGAAAATAGAAGCTAGAGAGAGAACTAGCTTGCCTGCATCGGCTTCAGAAATCTGATGATTGTAGTCGCTGTCACAAACCTCAGGAGGCTCAGAGGCAAGTGTCTTAATTGCTTGTTCTCCTTTCCAGTACCTCTGCACCTTCAATATCCAAACCTCTTAATTATCAGCAAGAATGTGTGATTCCACGCACCAACAGTTTTGATTTTTTTTTTTTGAGGACTCTTCTGAATTACTTAGGCTGAGGATTGGAAGCTGAAAAGTCTACAACAGCATAGTAGTAGAGACTGGCTAACTCTTCTAAATTTGAGATTACTTAGAAATTGTATATTTCATTGCAAGACTAAACTAAACTTCTGTGTCTGAACCTGCTAATTTTGAATTACTTGTTGTGAATGTAATTTTGCGCTGTAACATGCCCAGTAATTTGATTTATCAAATCGTGAAATGATTTCAACTGCTAGACTTTAGGGCACTGTAGTGATAGATCTTTTGGCTACTGTGTTTATTACTTGGAAGAAAACCCAACCAAAAGTACTTGAAGAAAAGCACTTTAAAACAAGGGAGAATGTTTACCTTGCGAATCACTTGAACATGGTATCCCCAAATGAGTACTTTTGGCTTTAGGCCTTAACAGTCTGTTTTCAGTTCAGCTTGCATATTATATAAACTTGATCTAGTTTCTATTTTGTGAGGGTTTGGGTTTTGGTGGTTGGTGGTTTTTTTCTTTTGTTTGGTTTAAATTGTTATTATGTTAAGAAGTATGGGATCAGTTTTTAGATGTATCTGTATGTATTTCAACAAAGTGTATTTGGTTCTGGAAGAAAGGCAATGTAAAGTCATCTGACAAGGTAGGTTCTGGCAGTGGGATCTTGTGAACAGCTTGCTGATGATGGTTGATATTCATTGACCATTTGTAAACCCCTTGTTTGGCAATGCTTGACAGCTGTCATATAATGTCTCTGAACTTTCTGGCATAGTAATTACTGATGACCTGTTAGAAGATATAATCAAGGATTGTGATTCATCATGAATGCAGCCTTGGGAAACTTGTTTGTTTGGGGTTTTTCTGTGATTTCCTCCTCCCCCCCAGCTTATTTGTCAGTCAAAGTGTGAACATGGCAAGTGTCTCTACTCATTTTCAGTAAGATACACATTGTGATCCTTGGTATTGGTCTCTGATCTTTGTGTGCCATGATGAGGGTTTTGGTAACTTTGAATCCTGATCTTTAAATACATATTTTGTGTATGAAGATACTTAAGAGATCTTTTTTCCTCTCAACAGGTGGGAAAGAGAAACCAAAAATGAATGCAGAAGAGCTACAGATTAAAAAAGTTAAGAAGAAAAAGAAAAAGAAACATAAAGAGAATGAGAAGAGGAAGCGTCCAAAAATGTACAGCAAATCCATTCAGACCATCTGCTCAGGATTGGTTTCTGATATTGAGGATCAGGAAGCCAAAGGCATCATAGATGATCATCTTAAGGATTTCAATGGGAAAAATTTGGATCCCAAGAAGGACTGTGAGTCCAAGATACCAGAGAACAGTGAGTTTCCATTTGTCTCGTTAAAGGAGCCACGGGTTCAAAATAAACTCAAAAGGTTGGACACATTGGAGTTCAAACAGCTGATTCATATTGAGCACCAGCCTAACGGAGGTGCATCAGTTATCCATGCCTACAGTAATGAACTCTCCCACTTATCTCCTGTGGAGATGGAGAGATTTGCAGAAGAGTTTGTGGGTCTGGTTTTTAGTGAAAATGAAAACTGTGCAGCTTACTATGTAATGGGTATTGTTCATGGGGCAGCTACTTATTTACCTGACTTTTTAGACTACTTTTCATTTAATTTTCCCAATTCACCAGTGAAAATGGAGATTTTGGGAAAGAAAGATATAGAGACAACGACTATGTCAAATTTTCATGCTCAGGTAAGAGGTTATACATTTTACTTTCTAAAGTCATATAATGGTTTCAAAACAACTGTGAATGGTTTTTTTTTTTTTTAAACTACAGTTACTATTAGCTGGGCTCTGTGGATGACAGAAGACAAGAAATAAGGGAATTCTTTAAGTTAGTTCTGCAATATTAAAGTAAGGAGCCTGTTAACTGAGACAAAGTTGGATTTTATGGGAGCGGGGAACTGTTTGCATGCATGTGTGTGTAGATTTCTTTTGGATTTGTTTCTGTGGCTGAAGCTTAAGCTTGAGTCTTGGAGGGTTAAAATGATTTAGCTGCGACTACCTGGGTGTCTGAACTGTAGTTTATCGGTATGAACGTCTTCATAAAACTGAAATGCTTTAATACAGTAGAACAATCTTATACATAAAACCTGCATAGGGCACAGTTAATCAGTTTCATTTGTAGTTTCAGGCTTCTAAATCCATTATTAAAGGAGAACTTAATTGCGGTTAATGTAGCTACTAATTTGATACTTACCCCATCACATTTCCCCCCAGTTAGTTGTATTCTCTTGAAAGCTGTTAAGTTGCGTAGCAAAACGGCAGATGGCTTTTGAATCTTGTTTTAAAATTTTCTGAGAGAAATGACTGTACGCTCTCTTAACAACTGCTAATGATTAAACATTGCCTCTGATATCTATTAACTTGCTGTAGAAGATTCATTATTGTTGCATATAAATTATTAATATTTCAGGTCTTGTAAGTTCATGGAAAAAATCTTCTAACCTTGGTGATGAAGGTGTTATGTAAAGCCCATACAGATACTCTGAAACAATTTCTGAAGAAACTCAATGCTGTTTTTCATAATATCAACTTCAGCTCCCAATTGCCTGTTTAACTCCCTATTTGTGAATTCAGATGTTGTATGGAACACCTCTAAGCTATTTTAGTCTTCTCTTTTTAGACAATTATGATGAGTTCAAGTGTAAGTTATGTTGTCATCTTTTTGATGAAAAACACGCTTTTGTTTTCTTTGACTACATAAATGTTTGCATGGAACACTATTGCATTTATTCACAAATTTCAGGTGTCTCTTATCCACAAGGATATGGGGAACTGAAATGTTGCTGCAAGAGAACATTTGCAGTGCTCATTAAGAAAATATTCACTGCCATGGAATATGAATAGTCTATGAAATATATTCACTAATTTTTTCAGTTTGTAAACTGAGTCATAACTTTAAGAGTAAAAATCACAGAATATATTATGGGCAGCTACCTAGAGCTGCTCTTAGGTCATTTTGTGTTTAAAAAAAAAAAAAAAAAGCAAGCTGGATCTGTCCTAAGTATGTTCTTTAAGTCTAGTTTGTTTTGGGGAGCGTTAATGCAAGCATAGCTGTGTGCTAGTATCTGCCCTAAATAAATAGTTAAGAAAAGCCAAAATGTTATTTTTGTGAATTATAATGGAATTATTTTACTGAAAGGATGGATTAACTTGGTATTACAATGATATCATTCATATCCATGGTTAAATCAGTTCTGTGGTCATTTGTTTTGAGATCATAATTTCCCATTTTTCTGTAAGTAAAGGAGGAACAGAGAGAGAATGTAGTAGATGAAAGAAGCCAAACTATTACAGCATTCAGCTAGTCAACTTCACAGTCTGTCTTCTCATCCATATTTTACTTGGCTGGAGGTTTAGTTCTGGTATCTTCTTTTGCTTTGTTTTCTCTCAGTTTTTCAGTTGTTTTTTGTAGCATTTTATCACTTGTCAGAGTTTAGTTGCTTGGCTCCTTGTATTTTTGCTAATGTAAAGGATATACTGTATATAAATAATGTATAAAGGCATACACCAAACTTAGTTGTCCTCTGTGCAGCATTGCTGTTTCCTGGAATATTTAAGTCAGTATCTTGATTGCCTAGCTATTTATTGTATTTTCCCTTATTTAATTATTTTTGGTCTTTTTCTGGCTGCTTATTTTGTCTTACTCAGGTCATCTGCTACATTTGAAAGGTTTTGTTAGCTTAGTATTCTCCTTTCTGACTGGGACCAGTATCAAAGATGTCTAGGAAGGAGTATGAGAGTCCAGTAGTCATAGTGATACTGTGTCAGAGTGCTCATTCTCCAGGGATATGATAGGACCTTCTTGAATCAGAGTTGTGAATTTTGTGGGTTTTAACTTTCAGCTGTAATTTTTTTCCCTCTGTGTGTGTAAATTTCCAATTCAATAGTTACCTATTTCAGTTTTCTGCCTCTACCTACCTTTATAAAAGGTACTAAACATTTTATGCAGATTGATAATATTCTCCTGTCTCATTGAGTTCTCTGTGAATCTTAAAGGGATTCCAGTGTGCAATTGCAGTACATTTCAATGAGATTTTAAATTTAGTTTTCTGTTCCTACATTGCAAAAGCTCTGTGCTGCTCTGTTCCCTGATGTCCTGAGCTGCCTGAGCAATGTCTAGCAGTTTTTGTGTAACTTCAGTTGAGAGGTGAGTTGGTTTTCTGATGTTTAAGGAGGAACTTAGATACTCAAAGCAGACTTGATAAAACTATCTCAACCTTTAGCCTTAAGAAACTTGGGTATTGTTTTGCTAATTTTACCTAAAACACTGAAATGAGGCTTACTTTAGTACATGAAGTTCTTTGGTTGTTTCTGAGAACCCATTGTGGCACATGTTATCAGTCTGACAAACATAAGTATTTATAAAGATCATAGAATCATAGAATGGTTTGGGTTGGAAGGGACCTCAAAGATCATCTAGTTCCAACCCCCCTGCCATGGGCAGGGACACCCTCCACTAGACCAGGTTGCCCAAAGCCCCATCCAACCTGGGCTTGAACACTTCCAGGGAGGGGGCATCCACAGCTTCTCTGGGCAACCTGTTCCAGTGCCTCACCACCCTCACAGTCAAGAATTTCTTCCTAATATCTAATCTAAATCGACCCTCCTTCAGCTTAAAGCCATTACCCCTTGTCCTGTCACTCCATGCCCTTGTATAACGTCCCTCTCCAGATTTCCTGTAGGCCCCTGCTCTAAGCAGCCTTCTCTTCTCCAGGCTGAACAAGCCTAACTCTCTCAGCCTGTCCTCACAGGAGAGGTGCTCCAGCCTTCTGATCATCTTTGTGGCCTCCTCTGGGCTCACTCCAACAAGATCTAAAAAAGCATAAAAAAAAAAATAAAAAGGAGGCATGAGCTAAACATGAAATGGAAAGTGTTGTGGCGTATTTTATCAGAATTTTTATTTCTCAAGTTGATTCTTTCAGTACTACTCCATAAACTTCCACCTTCTGTTTTGTGACAGATTAGGTTTTTTTGGTTTTAAGCAATGCATATTTTCAAGTCACTGAATTCTGTGGTAAGAGGCAGATTCCACAGTAAATTTTGTTGATGACGTCAAAACTGTTGAAGTCCTCCTTAGTCTGTCTGGAAAGTCCGCATCTCTTGAGTAATCTACTTAGTTTTCACAATTGTAGGGTTGAAAATGAACTCCTCTCAGCTTCCCAGTATACCTGTGTGAGAAGTAATAATTTCATTTGTTAGGATATTAGAAGTTTGTAGGAATAGTTAGAGCAGACACAGGAGACAGGAGTTTGTTTTGGAACTGGTTCTGTCTCCTCAGAATTAGCTTTTAAATTTTGGGCAGAGAGGAACTGGGGAGTTTTTAATCACCTAGCTTTGACCTACATTTAAGTACTCCTTAATTCTTCAAATTTTTTAGGTTAGTGGAACAGCTCTGTTTCTGTGAACTGTCTGTAAGGCTTAGACTGTTTCTGTAATTGGGCAAAATGGAGTTAGTCTGGATATCCTTGTCACCCGTAAGTCATTCTTTCAGGTGGTAGAAAACTGTCTGTTGTAGGTACATACCTGGGCTCCATCCTTAGTGTAGATGGCAACAGCTGCATCAGTTACCTGATAGCTGTGATTCTTACTTGTCAGGCTCTTAGGAGGATTTCAGAGAATGTAAATAATCAGTTTTTGCCACCTAGTTGCAGCTTACATCACTTCAGTTAAGCTATTTAGTGCTATTGAAGCCTCTAGTATTTTGAACCCATTGCTGTGTTCTCATGCTGGGCAAGTGTAAATTTTTATTGCCTTCCTGAAACCCCAAAGCACACACTTCATGTTTAACCATAACAATGCTTAGCGGATTGATTTTTACTGTGCTTCAATCTTGTTTCAGAGGCAGCTTCTTAGTACAGGTGAAGTAAAATGTTCAGCAATACCCAACAATTTCTGTGCTTCAAGACGAGTGACTATTTTTTAGCCATATCTGACAAGTGCTTGTCTGATGTGTTTGCTGGAGATCTCTAGGTGATTCCATGCTTCCCAAAGAAGTCTGTTGGAAAAATATTTTTTCTTATTTGTCCTCTTATCTTAATCCTTCTGCCAGTCCTTTTATTTTGGTCTTTAGTGGACAAGGCAAACAGTTTATGCCTTTCAGTGTTTTCTGTATTTGAAGGTTGCTTAACAGCTCCTTTTATCCTGCCTGGCCGCCTCCCCGATTAAGTAATAGGAGTTATTTCGGTCTACCACTACATGTTATATCACTATTGGTCTTATTGCTCTCCCCTTATTCTCTCTTCAGTTATCCTTATTTTTCATAAAATACAGTACTGAAAACAGACAGCGTCTGTATTGTTGTCAGGAGTATGAGAAGATTGCTTCAAGTGTCTTGCAAATTATTGTTCTTTGTTATCTATTCCTGGCTTTTTCACAGCAGTTTGATTTGCTGTAGCAGCAGCTCCTGCTAAGTGAGTCACTCCTCTTTTCATGTTTATGCAGTTAATTATATATATATGAGTGCAGTTCTTTGCTTTTATTCAAATTGAATTATATTGTGTGTATTCAGATCTCCAGTTTATCAAAGGTCTTGTTAGTTTTGATCCTTTCCTGTAGTAGGCTTACTGCTTTGTGTTTCATAAGCATATGTTGTGTTCAAAAGAAAGATCCTTGCTGCATGCCACAAAATTAGTCCTTTTATATTGATAGTTCTGGGAACACAGACAAAACTGCCCAGTTTGCTTTTA